ATGTTCATTTTGTCAAATGAATAAATTATTTCTGGTTGTTTTTTTTGTTTGTTTTTTTTATCACGAAATTTATCGTTATCGTCAGAATGCTCTGAAATATCACAATATTATATTTGAGCCATATCGCCCACCCCTACCTGCAGCTGTGATTTTCGCTGTGCAGCAAAGAAGTGGGTGTGGCCGAGAGCACTGGCAGGTGTAGAGAGCAGAGATCATGACATGCTGTGCTCTTTTAGAGCGTTTACAGTTTAGAAACATTGTTTAGAATATTGCATTCATTCATTCATTCAGCCTTTATTTATACAGGTGAGCCTCATTGAGCCACGGAGACTCATTTACAAGAGAGACCTGTTCCTGACAGAACATATAAAGTACAGACAACAAAACAGTAAACCATGACAACAATAAACTACAGTAAAAAAAATGCAGTTAAAATAAAACTAGTTTTTTTTTCCTTCTTCTTTCGGCTGCTCCCTGCGTTAGGGGTCACCACAGCGAACTAAGTCTCACGAAGACTTAAAAAAACCACACACTAGAATAAACAACTACTTGTACTACTATTCCTACTCTGCAGTTTTTCATTTATCGCTGGGCTTCAGGGTACTGGTCCCCCGTGATAAATGAGGGACCTCTGTAAATAGTAATTCCTTGTTTTTGCTGCTATAGCTGCCAGAGCTAACTTGAAGCACACACACAAATGGCTTGTTTTGAAGCTGCTGTTGTCAAACTGGGTGTGCTAGTAGCTGAGATCCTTAACACCCGTTCAGCTTACTAACAGATGGTGCAAAAATGTTTGTGTAAAACTTGGCGTTTCTTTGTGTTCCTGACTCCAGGAGCCTGCCGTTAGCCAGGAAGGGAGCCGTGTCCAGCGCGCTCTACATGGCCTGGCTGGAGGTGCTGTCCAAGGACCTGCCGCCCCTCATCCTGGTGCGAGGCAACCACCAGAGCGTCCTCACCTTCTACTCCTAAGCTCTTAGCACAGGGACGAAAACTCGTGTTTTTAAGTCTCACATGTACTGCTGCCTCTGGGAGCAGAGCCCCTCACAGATCCAGTCCAAATTTCAAGGTGCACCACACACTCCAGAGACAGCAGAAAACAGCCACTGGTGTGCTGTCAGCAAACACAAAGGAAGTGATTGGTTGAAATGAAGAAGCTCTTCGTGTGTTGGAGGAATGTCAGGGTTAGGGTGGGAGCTGGCTGCAGGATCGCCCACTCAGCTCCTTTCTTTTTTTTTTTTTATTCCAAAAGGTTTGTGTTTTTTTTTTTTTTTTTTGTAGCTCGAGGTTTCTCTAGTTTTCTTAAACGGTCATTTTTGTTCCAGTTGATTTAGTCTCGGGCTCCGAAGCGGTTGTAAACAACGGTAGTTCTGTCCTTGAGACGTGAAACGTGTCTTTCACTGATTCGGACCAGTTGTCATGTTTGTTGAAGCAATAATCACCTCGTTGATTTTCTTTTTTTAAAACATGGAGAACCTTGCAGAATGCTTTGCAACACCTTCTGAAGCCTTATGGATGTGCCTTCTAGTTGGATCTGATGAAATAATGATAATCTCTAACTAGATAGATACCTATTATTATTATTATTATTATTATTATTATTATTATTATTATTATTATACTGGTGGATACGTGTTCCTTTTAAAGAGCTTTGATTGTAGGTTCTTTTAGTTGGATAGTCTGGGAAAGGATGGCAAGAGTTTAATGAAGCGTGTCCACTTTGATTGCATGAACACTTCCTTAGTCATTTCTTGATATTTTACTCTAATCTGAGGGATTATTTTGCGTAATAGCTTTGTTTTTGTGTAGTCACTTTAGGTCTTCCTTTATGAAGCTGTTGAATATTTCAGATAGCCTCAGTTACTCGACACATTTGACCTTTGTAGGCTCAGTGCCTGGAAAAGATTGTATGTAGATTCAAGAAGACGTTCGTCAGTAAGGATGTAAATGTGATGTTTCTTTAGCCTTGTAGGGGTGGAAAGATAAATTCATGTAGCTGCTGATTTATTAAGTTAAGTGTTCCTTTAGCAACGTTTCTGTCCACATGAGCTGTTCTTCCCTTCTACAGACGCCCTACAAGCTATTGAAAAGCCTGCCTTAATGATGCTAACGATTGTTTCCCGTTCTCTGAAGCCATAGGCTGGGTGGTTTGTGGGTAACCGGAGATGCCGAGCTTTAGTCGCGTCCCAAGTTTAAGCACATTTCAGCTGCACATGCGCGATCATTTCCTCGCCACCTTAGTTTTGTTTGAGTCGTCGCCGCACAGCGCTGGTGAAGTGGTCGGCCGAGTCGGACTCGTCTGTCCCGCTCGTCTCAGTCTGAACAAGCCCAGTTAGGTGTGAAGTCCTCGCGCCTGAAGATTCAGAATGTGTCTCGGCGGAAAGATTTACCTCTATGCATTAATGAGCTCGCGCTGCCAAGATCTGTAGTCCAGCTTTCCCAGCACCGCTCGAGGGGATTCGTAGGCTTGTCCCTCGTTGGTCAGGGTGTCATGGCTCCACAAAAAGCCATAAATGAACTTGTTAATAATAGGTCACATGTGTTCTGGTCCAGGGCGAGTAGAACATGCAGTGTTTCGTTCTTTGTGTTTTTTGGAGTGGTAAAGTTACATTGACTCCAGCGGCGTGTACAGGATGAACTCACACCAGTTGCTTATACAATCATTAAAGGTGGAAAATAAACCCGTTCGGTTCAGGCTGACCACAGACCTGCAGGTTGGCTTTAATCTCACCTGAACCAACGTTCAGTTTAAGTGCATTACCACAAAAACATTAACTCCATCTTGATTTGCAGATTGGCTGCAGCCGTGGGATTGTTGACGGTTGTTTGGTCAGAAGACGAGCTCCGTTGTGGCTTCTGGGCATTATTATTATTTTAGATGAGAAAGCTGCAAAACAAACAAACCTGTTCTTTTTAGTCATAATCTGTGTTCTCCCCAGCAACGAGCAGGGTGAGCCTTCTCGGTACTTCCACGTCTTCTGTCCACGATGGTATGCAACTCCTCAGAACGCCTCATCAGGTTCATTGACTTTACTGTATCATAAGAACACTAGCGCTTCGACTCTCTTCGGGTTTGATTCTCCACGTGGACTGCAATAAGCACAGCGCTGTGGGCCTGCTCCATCGTGTCTCCCCTGAGTCCTTCACATGCAGCCCGAGGCCGTGTGCAGGTAAATCACTCATTCTCACTGTTGTGGTAACGGAGGGCGCTGAATACTTCCCAGGTCTGTGAATGTGTCTGTGGTGCCGACTAGATCTTTTAACAATTTACAGCACAAATGTCACATTCCCCTGTTTTATTATTATTATTATTATTATTATTGTTTGCACCCAGACAAGGATGGACATGTGGAGGAGAACAAAACCTTCCAATACGATGATGAGTGCAGAGAACTGATGATGTGATGGTTCTCTCTGGGCGTCCTGAAGCTTTGATTTAGATTTTTAGATCTGTGCAACAAGTTTTCTCAAAATAATCATGGAGGGTGTCTCTGGCTGAAAACATGCCCAGGTCTGAGAACTGTCAGTGATCACTAATCTAGATTAAAAACCAGGTCTGGCTCTGCTCGTTCTCATTTCGAACTCAAGTAGGTTAGATCAGCAACGAAGGGTACGAGTCCGTCTCGTGACCCACTGTAGAAGCCCCTGCCTTAACTCTTGGAGTCGGTGGGCTAGAATACAGCTTTGTAAGCCCTGCACACAGAAAAAGTTGTCATTTCAACACCCCCCCCCCCCCAACACAGTCCCACTGCTCGCTGGTTTCTTGGTCGCACTCTGAGTTCAGTCAGACTTTGAGAGAAAATTAGCCTTTTTTCTTGCTAAATTTGTGTGAACTAGTCTCTGCTCCGTGAGCTCCAGCTCAAATCAGACGCTAAGCACGCTCTCCTCACAGGACACGCCCACTCGAGCTGCTGTTTTTACAAATTGTGATAAGTTTATTTGCACCTTAACTGCTAAAGTTCTTGTAATACTTTGGATTTCAGTCAAATAGAAGCGTAAACGTCTGAAGCTTTTGTCCCAAAGCAACTAAAGGACTGACTGTGTTCGTCGTCACTCTGTAAACCTGCTTCCTTCCTCACGGTCACAGAACATCAAAACAGACACGGGTTCTTCTATATTTGTAAATGAAAGGCAACTATATATAGCTACACCGTATACACACTGTATATCTATCAGTCTGATTGTAGGAAGTCTTTGTCTTTGTTGCATCGAATAAACTAAACGTACTCCTGAGAACATTTTACAGCCAAGTCTGTCTTTAATGTCATTTGTCCTTCTGAACCCCACTCCACAAGTCATCAGTCCACGGGTCAGAACTGAGGCATTTATGCTTTTTTTCCAGCCCTCGTTCCAAATCTGTTTTCTGTTGAGCCTCAGTGATCCACGGTCACTTTTCAAAATGTGAAAATGAATAAAAGGTCAAAATCCCAAACTCTTCTGGTGACTGAGCTCTTTTCCACATCATAAACTAGCATGTAAATAAACTTTGTAGCCTAGGGGAGTGGGTTCATGACGTCAGCTTTCAGTATGAAGAAATATTTATTTTAGATCATAAATTGATGTGCTTTATTCACGTTTTGTTTCGCTTGTAAATTAATTTGCACGTTGATGTCTTTTCTGTCACCTTTTAATTTGAGCATTATTTTTTTCGACACTATTTCTGTCTTTGTACCTTTTGGAGAGGACGACATGAAGACGAGCAGCTTAAAGCGGCTTCCTGCTGCTCGCACACAAATGTGAATGGAATCAATCCAGCTGGTTGAAACGGTGACGTTTTGATACACTGCACTGTTAACGGTTACAGAAATGCTTTGTTTCTAACATTTTAACAGTTATAATTACCAGTACTTTGTATATCTTTATTGCAATAAATACATACTTGTTGTTTTCAGGTCGTTTGTGGGTTTCTTTCTTTTGGAGAAGTTTGAGAATAAATTCAGCTTTTAAATGGAACGAGCGTTCTTTCTAATGCATGTTGTAATGTAGAAGACACCTAGACATCCTGCTGGATCAAGTGCTGCAGCTCTGATTGATGGAGGACGTTCGTGTCTTTGTGTCTATAAAGTGAATGTTCTTACAGACAAAACATCCCGTTTATGAAAACGCCTAAACTGGTTTCCAACATATTTGTTGCCAGGTGCATTTATTACACCTGCTGTCTCATTCCAGACATGAGTTGTAATGAAGATTAAAACATGCTGCTGGTTGGAGTCGGCCATCTTTCTTTAGCGGAGTACACAACTACGACTGGTTTAGTGACTTTAAATTAAAAAAATACTGATTTTCCAGCAGAAATTTTCTGTTTACCACATTTTCTCATGTTGGAACCACAAACATGAAAGTGTGTTACTGTGCTTGATGTGATGGACCAACACAAAGTTGTAGAACCACTTCATTGTGACATGGGTGGGAAATACTGTAATACATGATTAATATTTATCAGCAAAATATCTTCAGAACTCAGCTATTAGTAAATAAAGTCAATCTGTGAGTAGCTTAACCTTAGTATGACTACAGCTGTTCTCTGAAGGCCTGAGAGATTTGATACAGAACATTGGTGATTAAAAACGGCATCATGAAGACCAAGAAACAGGTCAGATATGAAGTTTTTGAAGTTTCGAGCTTCAGTTATAAAACATGAACATCTCACAGAGCTCTAACATCAATTTGATTGTAACTGGAGGAGCTGCAGAGATCCACAGGTCAGGTGGGACAATCTGTCCACAGGACAACTGTTCGTCCTGCTCTCCACAAATCTGGTCGTCATGGAAGAGTGACGAGAAGGGAGCTGTCGGTGAAGTAAAATCCATAAAAAATGTTGATTTGCACTTTGCCTAAAGTCTCGTAACGGCAAACAAGAAGCTGCTCTGCTCAAATGAAAAACTTGAACCCTAAACGTATCCCTGCAGTGAAGCATGGTGGTGGCTGCATCATGCTGTGGAGAAGTGTTTCCTTCAGCAGGTTGGTCCAAGTTCATGGAAGATGGAGCTGAACACAGGACGATGCTGTCAGATAACCTGATCCATACAGGGTGAGCAGAGTCTGCAGCCAAACATGAAACCTTTCTGATCCTCAGTTGGAGTTCCCTCAGAAAGGTGACCTCGTCATCAACAGGACGGAGATGTCCACATTAGTTTTTACTTCGTACAACCACAATAGGCACAATGATGACGATAAGAATTGAGCAAAAAAGCAAAACGATTAAAGAAAGAATTTTGCAAAGTTTTTTCCTCCTCTGCTCTGCTTCTTTTCTTTTAAGTAACGAGTCAAACCCTGGGGTGTAAAGGTCTTCAAGCCAGAAGTCCAGATCTTTAGGAGTTTTCTCCTCCTCCTGAAAAAAAAAATTAAATGGCATAAACACCAGAGCATCCTGTTTGTGTGAAATCAAATTCCTCTACATTTGATCCCAGCTTCAGGTGGATTTATACATATTTCAATAAGACAACTACGATACAGAGCTGCTGTAACCCCCACCCATCAAAAAACTGAAATGCGCTCCAAAAGCATGTCAGCCATCCCCTGACTCGCTCCTTCACCTCACATTACCTTTAGATATTCTGCCAAGTTGCCATGGACGGTTTGTGTGTCGTACTCTTTGATGGTCCAGGAAGGCTTGAATCTCTCATTGTCCCCAGTGTCCACTGGTTTTATGTCCATGTACAGAGGGTTTCTCCTTATGTTAGACTTCAGAGTGACGGGAGTGATGTGCTTCTCCAGGAATCTGTCCACAAACACCACAGGACTGTCTTCTGTGGATGGTCTGTGTTCAGGTTTTACCACTTGGTCCCTCTGTGGAAACAAATCAGATTTTAACTTTATCTGCAAACACAGAAAACACTCAAACATAGAAGAAACTGTTTATACACACACACACACACACACACATATATATATAATGTATATATATGTGTATATATAT